ACTTTTAGCATGTCTTGAAACAACGGCGGCAGACTGTTAGTCACATCAGCTGCAAGTTTGGGTAAGTGCAATCTCCACGTGTAATGAGACATACAATCAGACGCACACGAACTCCTGTCATTAGTAATGTGGATGTTATTGTCCTTGACACATGAGCTTCTCTCACACTATCATTAACTTAGCTCATATTAGTTTGTTTCTTTATTAGTCCCTTGCCAGGTCTTTGCCCAAGCGTAGGGTGTCTCCATGTGTTTAATTAAAAGCAAATGGAGGCCGTACAGTGAGGGGTGCCACAGATTGCAGCCATATGCTTCCCGGGCAGTGCCATATTCAAGGTAGCGGATGGTGGGGAGATAATCCTTGAGTTGCGTGGATGCTTCCAGTTGTGACAGTCGTGTTGTCAGCCAAGCTGCCAGTAAATTAGATTCGCAAGCTTCACTGGACAGAGAGTTTATCCTACAGTCGGGTGACACTGTTAAAATTATTGTCAGGAAGAAGAGATTTTATTGTTTTACAAACATGTGGCAATCAATGATGACAAAGCTGTCCTGTCCAATCCCAAAGTCCCAAATAAGTGACATGTTTGTTTCCAATGTGAGATAGTTCACCGTTTAAAAAAACGTGACACCCAGTCTGACTCAAAGTGTAACCCACTGTCAACATTATCTGTTTGGAGTCTTTTACTTTAACAACATTCTTCATAGCATGTGGCCTTCTGGTGGAAAACCTTCATTTTTACCTGAACATCTTGTTTTAGGACTAGTTCTACTTCATGTTGATCATCAAGTACTGGTATCATGCTCATAAAATAGCACAGAACTCAGGACATTAAGCATCTAGGACCACTCATTAATTCAAATCTCTTGCCTGATAATTGCGCAATAAAAGGTTGGTATAAAACTTGTAAAACTGTGTCTTTTCATAAAACATAAGGGGACTGTCTATAAACTAACTGTATGCATTTTAATCATAGGCATTATTTATTTCTAAAATTTCTAATTCGAGAATTAATGCAGTGTTCTGAACAGAATAAAACAACTGTTGCATGGAAACAGTTAATTTTAAGTTGGAAATTTTTTTTATTTTAAGTTGGAAAAGCTACTGTCTGTTTAGACTGATGGCAAAGCATATGTTGGGTTAATTCATGATCCAGGAAGGTACAACTGGGGTGTGAAATGGTTGCAGTCACATAACTAATATCGATATATATGAAATCTTTTCATGTGACCACACTGCACTGCATTTTGTTATATATAATAAACCAGTTAAGGAATCTATTTTATTTTTGTCTATTTTTCAACTGCCACAAAATCATCCATTGAATCACATTAACTCCACTCTAATTTATTAAGGCCTGACAGAGTAGACAGTGTCTGGAGAACCAACAGCCATCCTTTCATTAACTCTGAGGTATGTGTCTGCACTGCATAAACAACAAGCAAATCAGGTGACAAAGTCAAAATAGACAGAGGTCCTTTAAGGTTCAGAAACTCTGTTTACTGGTGCTGCAACTTCCTGAAATTCATACAAAAAATTTGAACTGGG